AGCAGGAAAGAAGGGCAAAATGGTAAAGATGAAGAGAGACAGGAAAATGTGGGGTAACTTTAACTTCATCAGTCTACAAAGTTTTTAGTTCATTAGCAGGTCCTTGAAAGAAACAATGCCATCTGGAGGGATACTGCCCTCCAGAAAAGTTATCAAACACTTTATCTGTTGTGGTCATCTGGAGTTTTCAAAGTTTCCACTTACCAGAAGTACACAATAGAAGTGCACAGTTTCAGGTAATCATGTAACCAGCAGCTATTTCTTATTAATGTTAGTTGCAAAAATGTAGGAAAATGCTGTGAACTGTTTTCCTTCTCATAAATGCCTCCACTATGTAAATAACATTATGCTGATTCTACAAAACCTGCACAAAACATCATGACAAGGAGGCTACTTCTGACAATGTGTGAACCATGTGGGGCAGAGTTCCAAGTTATCCAAAAAATACTTTAACCTATTGGGTGGCTTTCAAACTGTTAACAGATACTATACACTGTAACCTGCAACATAAATTACTACTCAAAGACATTTGCTGAAGAGGTTTTAAATTTTGAATAGCATCCTTAAGCACCAAATTCAATATTTAGAAATACATTTTCAAAAATACATTAATTTTCAAATAGTACTCCAACTACTGTAAAGAAACCTTTCCCTAACACAACCACAGGTTTCTTGTCACCTGTGTTAGAACTTTTTTTAATGACTGGGAAGCCACCCTCCTTTCTCTTGCAAGAGACAGAATGAATTTGACTTGCACTACATGGACAATTTGGGCTATGTATGCAGGCTGACAGCTATCATACTTTCAAAGCTCCTGCTCTGTGGCTAATTAATACACGAATAGAGGAGAAGCCCCATCCTTTGGGACACATTGTAACACACAAAGTCATTTCCTTCTACTTCTCTAGACTGGGCTTGACCGTAGTTTTTATAACAGTATTTATACATACCGTCTTCATCTGTCTGGATAATGGTCTCCTCGCTCTCCTTCCTCCCTTCTGGGTTGGTTAAGATCATTTTGAGGCTGACATTTGTGTAGGGAGGCAGGTGATCCACAACATGCTGGGGTGCTTTGGGGTCCATGTCCAAGCAGTCTGCCTTGCTCTCATTGTGTCCGCAGAAGTAGTGGTAGCATATAGTGACATTGAATGTGTGGCAACGAGTGATGTTGTAACCCAGAGATTCCCAATCCACAGCAATATGTCTGGCCTGGATCTCAGCAATCTTTAGAGTTTTTGGTGTTCTCATAGGTTCTACAAAACAGAGTATGATGAAGAAAAACATTGTTAACGTTCCTCATACTTGCGCTGAACTGTAACTGGTAGATGATACATCCAGGAATGTGAAAGCAAAGCTGATATCCAACACACACAGACTTATTACTGGAAGAAGTATCACTCTTTGTATGAGTACCCTGAAGGGTAAAAACCTGTCACAGTGTCTATGCTTCTATTTCATCCTTCTTTAGCCTCTCTTTGCAGGTTTCAATCAGTGATTAAGAAAAATAATTGTTAATTAACAGTGCAGTGATTCAAAGCAATCGAGAATACAGGCAGCAGACACAAAAAGAGTGACCAAAAGGCCACCCAGCTGTCACTGATGGCTTCTCTTATTTCCCTTTATTATTTTTTTTTTCCCTGCATAGTTTAGATAATACATCATAGAAGTAAAGAGTCAACTTTCACTACACTATGATTTATCATGTCACTAAGCAATGTTGTATACTGATTACACTAATTACCTTACTAAGCTATGCTGATATTAATTACTAAAATAATAAACATTCATGAAACTATTTATTCAAGCAAAAATCCTCACAAATATTAGAAAGATGCTTTTGGGTATTTCCATTGTATCCTGCTTCCTTCAGATCCCCAAAACTTTGCCTGGACATTACTTTGAGCTGGCAGTCTGTGACCTGCTACCCAGGCTCAGCTGCTTTCCACACATGCATTTCCACCAGCAGAGTACATGATGCTCTCCAAGCTGCCATCAATCTTTCCTTGTCTCTCTAGTGCATTCATTCCTCATGCAAGACTAACTTTTATCGTTGAACTTAATGAAAATGATTACACAATGAAAATCATGACCATGACTATATATACTAGAGTTTCACTTGAAATATACCAAGGGGATCTTTATACCCTGCTCATACATCCTCCTTCAACAGAGGAAAAAAAGCCTGCTGTAGGCTCAGCTTCTCCCTCTTGTCCTTGCTGTAAGGTGTAAGGTCACAACAGTCGAGATTGTTCAAGGAAGTGAGAAGTCTTTCTGGGCATAACAGTTCTTTGTAACTTGCACCTATGAAATAAGAGTCCCAACCAGGCTAACAACCAGCCAAAAGCACAGATGGCATACTGAAATAAGGAAATGTGAATCATTATAATCTATTCAGCATACAGTTTGCCAGACAAACTCCAAACATTTAGTTTCAAATACCAAAACAATCCAATTCTAGATACTACATAAAGGTATTCCTTTTAATATGAGTGTTAAGGATTATAAATTTTGCCTATTTTTTTCCATGGTCTATTCTTCCATTTCTGGATTTTGAACAAGCATATTCCCTTTGCCCTTGAGTACCAGTTTATCATAAATATGGCAAAAAATACAAATGAGTAAGTAGGCTTCCTGGGCTGTAGCTTTCTGAACATATTGTACATTGCAACAATAAAGATGTGAAGTTGAAAGATAGCATTGAAAGGGTCCTTGAAAAATAAGAGACTTGAACAGGAGGAGGAAAAAATGGGGCTTTTATAAGAGTAAACAATGGCTGGTGTTTTAGCAAGTGCAGAGAGGTGTGAGGCAGTCATTTAAAAAAGAAAAAAAAAGTACCAACACATTAGATCTTCTGAAGGCACTTGCAAGAGTCTTCAAAGAATCAGTATTTCCTTGCCTGCTGCAAGCACTTAGGAAAAAAACCCAACAAACGCACTCAAGTGTCACAGAGGAAGAGAACTGCTAGATTCTCTTCTGAAGAGAACTGGCTACAACCTTCACATGTGGATCGATTCTTCTAATTTTAATGATTTCCTCTTAGTTCTGCTAATCCAGATGATGCCTTTGACTATCCACACCAGAGATGGAATTCAAACCTGAACTTAAAATTTCTTGGAACCTCTAAAACGAACACACAATACATGTTGTCTGGCCATGAAGGTTGAAGCTACTGATGTTTGAAGCCAACTAATCAGTAACAGAAAATGTGCTCCATCTTCATCTTGCTTCTTTCATCACAAGACTACAACTGCCTTCACACTATGCTGCATAGCACTTTCAAAAGAGAAGGGGAAAATAAAAGCTTTGCTAATCTTCAAGAAAAATAATTTTACAATTCTATGCAAATTCTGCCAATGTGTCACAGTATCAGAGGAGATACTGAAAAGCATCCTTTATTCCCCTGTCAAAAAGGGAAGAATGAAAGACAGAGTGTGATGTCGTTTTCTCACAACTATTCCCATTTTTGGCAGAAATTAAACAACTTCTGCAATATTGAGATGGTAATTAAAGTCTGCAGAGTCTCCCAACAGCTCTGGCAAACTCTGTTAACTGTCCCACTGCTCCTAAAATGATGCTTTAAAACCACAATTCTACTTTCACTTCTGGGCAACATTCATCTTGGCAATCTCTAGAGGTAAAGACCAATTGTTTTAAACTACCATACCACAAAGCCTCCATCTGCATCACCTCAGTAGAAAGCAATTTTTGAATAATTATTTTTCTCAGATAAAACAGTATTGAATTTTTGAGTAGGCTTCCCAAAACTCCCAGCATCTCATTAAGAATAACTTTGTTCTCAATGGGGGCAAAAAGAAGTACTCATCTGCCATTTTACCCTTTCCTCACCACACTTTAAGGTGTGCATTTTATTGAAACATTTTCTGAATTCTACTGGGATTTAATTTCCCTTTACGCATTCTCTTCTGATCCCTGGATACTTTTTCAGTACTACTAATCCCAGTAAATCAATTTACTTCTTGTCTTCCCATTTGTTAAGTTTTCTCACCTTTCCTCCTTCAGTTACATTGAGAACTTTAATACAAAATACATGATTTCTCAGTTTTTGTTGAATTATTCATGTCAAATTGGCACTCTATGTAAAAGAGGGAAGAAATAAGATGCTTCCAAAATCCTTGTTCATTTCTTAACCTATCAATTAGATTTTCAAATAATAATAAAAATAATACCAGAAAACACTTTTCCAAACATTGGAAAGGTTACCAGTTATCTCTGTGAGACAGGTAAGTGGTGTTAATCCTTTTCTGTGAGGAGAAAGAGACACAGAAAAGTTAACAGCTGGTTCAAAGCTACAAAGTGATTTACTGCCAGGGCCATAAGAAAACTGAAGGGTTCCCAACTCCCAGGTCACCAGTGCTCTGGCCACATGAAAGCACCAGCTAGCAGCACTAGTTCAAAGAGCTGACTTGCACTTTATCAGCCAGTGCATTGACCGACATTCTAACTCCACTCCTCAAGTCTAACTCTTTTTATAAAGAGTTTTTTGCAGATCTTCTTAGAACAAGTTTGAAAAAGCATAACAGTGCCCAGACACTAAGTGAATGACTGAGCAGAAGGACAAGTTATTTGAAAATCAATAGTTTGGCTTGTTAATTTTGAGAGATTTTTTGATTGAGAGCTTGTAATTTGAATGAAACAGCATATTTTTTGCACTAAATCTTGTATTAAAGATTAAAATTTTGGGGAGGAGATACTCAAAATTTTTTTCAAGCTTTTTTCTCCAGCAGTAAATATATTTAACACTGGTGGCAGTTCCTTTCAGTGAGAGCATTAAGTACTCAGGGCTTCTGCTGCTGCAGGAAATTCAATATCCTCTGAGTGTGTCAAGTTCTTAAACATTTAACATCCTGACTTGCAGAGTGATGTCTTTCAACAGAAACATGGTAAAAAAGCATACAGGCATTGTGATGGTGGTGGTGGTTGGGTTGACCTTTACATCCTTGCAAGTCTTTCTGCTGAGGGCTCCCTTCTGCCAGACCCTTCCTGCCCAGAGGCTGCTGCAACAATCACCCCATTCCCACCTCTGCTTACAGTCAGCTTCTCTGCCCTTTGCTTCCAATGCCTGACAGCACCCAACTCCCTTATCTTCTTCCTCATCATCCTCCTTTTATCTCCTTGGCAAATAATTACTACCAAGCTGACTCAGATCCATCATCTGATCTGACTGTTTTTACTCTCACTGAACCAATTAAAACCAGAGACACTGCAAGAATATAAAAATAACAGAAAAAACCCAGAATAATAAATGACATCTCTATACCCTCACTGATCACTAAGTCCTCATTCCTTATCCAGAAACTGTATTAAGTAAAAGAATTATATGCATGTAGCACTCACTCACAATTTATGGAGCAAGAAGATTTAACCCAACTTTATGGGATAAAGAACAGCTTTAGTAATTCTCCACAGGTTAATAATCCAGGGATAGATGGCAAAAGAGCCAGAACCTGTTGACCCCATACCACCTCTCAAATGCAGGATGATTTAATAAGATGCTCCAGATAACAGATAAAATGAAATTCAATTTCTTTAGTGCTTGATAAGCAACACGTGATACAACAGGTCAATACTGGAGCCTTTTTGTAGAGATTATCTTCACTTACACAGAGATGGCAGTGAAAACAAAAGCCTTCACAATTGCAGAAGAAGAAAAGTGAGGGCATGCATTCACTCAGAACCTATTTTTAATAATAATAATAAAAATAATAATACATACTACCTTGCTGTCAATCACAGAAAAACAGATGTCCTGAAGTTGTGACAAAATCCTATAAAGAAAGGCTAGCAAAACATGACAAGTCCTTTGCTTTTGCTGCCTTTCCTCAGAAATTGTAAATGTTGAACACAAGACAGTTTCATTTCCATTTACCTGGCAGGGGATTGGGGGATCTTCTGACCAGCAGACAGAACACACATTTATTCACATGAAACGGAAAAGAGTAGAGACAAATTTTAAAGCACAAACACAGATAAAGACAGTGCTTCTCAAACACCACCGTATCATATCTATTTACTGTCTGTGTATACAATTCTTTAATTTGGGTTGGCTTTTGGAACTTTCTCCCTTCTTGAACCTTTTTGGTATGGCATTACACTGAGGAACTGAGTTCAAATTTTTGCTTTAACCACACTGACTGAAATTCATATCAAGTTTAAGATTGACCCAGGTCGCCTTCACTGGTGACACAAGAGGCGAGAACTAACGGGACTTGAAGGGTGAGAAAACACATGTTTG